CCCGCGGGCCAGATCCGGCCCGTCTAATGAATTTATGTGGCCCGCGATTAATCTTCCAATATTAGCTACTCAAGTATGAATTGCTCGATGAAAAATTCTGATGCCTAAAAAAAAAAGGTCAACAACTCACTGTGCGTTTAGAGTTAACTCTCCATTACAAATCTCGTAAGTACAGTGTAGAGCGTTGATAAGGCATGATAATATAAAAAATGTATCTGTAATCTCTATGTACAATTTAGTCTCTATGGGGTGACACCACAAAGAGACCTCGCACCACCTCAAAATCTTCCTAGGGCAGCTTCTGGTTCGGCCCGTGAAAAAAGTTTTCTTTCCAATTCGGCCCGGGGGCAAAAACTGTTGGCCACCCCTGTACAAGAGGCAGCTCCAACTTGCAAAACTTATAACCCTTTGAAAGATGATCACTCATTATTAAGGCCAAAAAGAACTTATTATATTTGTTGGATTTCCTGGATAAAAAAATACAATGCATTTTATAAGAAAATCTGTGTCCAATGTAAAAGTTATAGTTTCACGCGGACTGATTTCCATATTGGATTTCCTACAAGACATTTTCCTTATTTACAGACAAAATTGTTTCTAATTTTTGAAATTGAACTTTTAACACAGACTAAAATGTGTATTTTCAATTTGGAAGTATTTGTTGTAATAAAGTCACAAAATGATCATAGATCGTTCTTTGCTTCCTCTGAAAAGTTTCATTTTTGTCACAGGCTAATATAATTTCTATGTTAATGTCTCGATTTTTGATCATTTACGTTTTTTGTTTCGAATTGGCTTTCCTAAAAATGTAACTATAAAATTAATGTTTTTCTATGTAAAAATGTTTTCAAAGAACAAAAGTGTTCGTAATGAAGAAAACGTTTCTTAATTGACAAAGTACACACCTCAGCAAATCTTGTCTTGTAGGTAACTGCTGGAGTCTTTTTTTGCTAGAGTTTTTTTTTCTCTTTGTGTAGCTTCATTGGGACTGTCTTTTTCAGGATTTGCAATTTTGCAATTTTGTTTTTCTATGTTAATTAATACTAAATACAAAGCGAGAAAGATTTTATAAATATTTGGGGTAGCTTAATAATAGCGAATATTAATTAAGAATATACACTTAGCCTAATTAAAGTGACTAGATCCTGAAATGTTGTGATGAGCGATATTTTACTACCGGTGATTTAATTATCGTTACTGAAAAGTCAGTGCCAGTAACGATAATTCCGAAAAGTCACTGGCCGGTAATGCCAGTGACTTTTCGGAATTTCGGTGGTCGATGAGTTTTATAACTACGATGAAGAATTGACTATAAAAATATCATCTGTAGTTACAAAGTTCACTATGGTGAACTTTGTAACTACACGAAAATTACCGATCGCTAAATATTGAAATATTATGCGACTTTACCGGTTATTTTTCAGTATACGGTGATTAAATCAACAGAAGTGAAATATCGTTCGTCACTAAGCCCAGCAATGGCCAAGTGGTCTTTGTACCCTTAGCACTGGGAGTTCGGTTCGTGGGTTCGCACCTTGGTCAGACAAGCTCTACCAAGTGTTGCTGTTGCCATAATTCTAAAACAAACGTTCGTCACTGATAATTACCTTCAGTTGGCCAAAAGAAACTTTACGATTTGGCATTTTCGGTTTTTTGTAAACGTTTATTTTCTACAGCTGGACATACTAAACTTATTGGTATAATTAGTATTGTGGTAAAATCATGGGTATTATTTGTAAACGAGAGACCAAGATGATACCCTTTTTAAATACTAATTAATTGCCAAGTATAAATATTTATATGATTAATGTAAAAATGAAACTGTTTATGCCACTGTTATCCATTTTATATTTTTTCTTTGTACAGTATTTTTGAAGGCAATAAATAAATAAATAAATTTGTGCGTTTTAATTTAACATTTTTTAAAACATTGACGCTCGTTGCGGTAAAATTGCGAGTTTATTAGAACGCATACAATCACGGTGATCGTATGATACAATTGCAAACCTTGACAGTGAAACCATGATCACGGTTACCGGAAAAAATTATCTCGATTGAAAAATAAAAGTCACTGTTTACCGCGATATAAGAAAGTTATTGGATTGCTCATCACTACTGAAATGTAAAAAGTGGGACATTAGGCAGGGCATTTGACCTGACGTCACTTGAGTCATATGATGAATTCCGGTAGCCAATTGTCGGTTTTCTAGCTTTCTGACATCATCGATGACAGACTTTACAAACAACCAATGAATATTTTATTTATCCGTATACACTTGCTTAAAAAGTAGGTTAACAGCCTACAGCGATAACAACAATGAACGATTAATTATGGCTCTGGATACAGCTTTGTCTGCTTTAATCGCCGTTTTTTAAAGCGTGTTCCTATCACTCTGATGGACTCGAGATCGATCTGGATGAGAAATTCCCCAGGAATTTTTATATCTTTTAAATATGTCGGACCTTGCTCGTCATCATCCGGCCGCCGCATTGTAGTCCTACACAAACCCGACATGTTAGATGTCTGGATGGCCAAGCGATTAAGGTGTCAACTTATCGCTTTAGAGGACCCGGAAACTAATCCAAACTGGTCGCAAAACACTAGGAATTTTTTTAGGGTGATCTGTCTCGTATATTTCGGATCTTTTTCACCACCCACGATGGGCTTGATTAACAAAAACATTCTTTATTGCCAATAGAGCGAAAAGAGTTAAAATAAAAAGAATAAAATACTGTATATCATATACATGTATACTATGTAATAGTATATACTCGTATGCTATATATGTATAGTATTTTACAAGATCGCCACTAAATATAAGGGAATATACATTGCCCTACATAGGCGTATAGTGGAGATCCTGTAGCTAGTAATAAAAGTTATAAAATTCAAACTATCTTATACCATATTAATATTCTTTTAATATATACTGTAATAGTACAATAGTTATAATTAATTTTATAAGAACTTACGTAGTGACCGAAATTTTACCCCCGGGGCGTGCGCCCTGAGTAATGAGACTGACTAATAACGTAATTTATATTAATTAACGAAATGCAATATTTTGTAATACCTGAGTTCTTGCAGACAGAAAAAAGAAGAAGAGAGTTGCGATGAAATGTCAATTTTATTGTTGTTTCACTGAAAACACAATAGACCTATTTAATGTAATATTATGAAGTATATTACTGTATTAGCCTATATAATATAGCATAATGACAGGCATGTTCAAAATTGTTACATATCAGTTACATAATCACGTAAATATTCTTGCCGATAACTTACTTTACTTTCCGAACGATCCTCGTAGATGTAATGTTTTCTTCGAGGATAAGTTTGATCGTGTAACTTATTATTATAATACATATATATTTGCGTAAATAAAATGTAAATATTGAAATACATGTTTGCGTAACTTGAAATCGCGTAAAAACGGAACTGACCGTAATTGCAATGAAAATATTTACTTATATTAGCGTTAAAAAACATTATTAGATCCTATTCAAGTCTAAAATTAATTTATGAAGTATAAAATAACGCTAAATTGGTGTTCATTTTGGAAATATTCAATTTCCTATATATTGTTCATGAAAAAAGATACTTGAAATACATTTGATGACGTGCTATGAGAGTAACCTAGTTTTAAAAATAGGGTTTTTACGATTCAAAATAGCTTACAGTTTTCCTGTTATTCTATTTATTCACGGATTTCGAATTAGAATTAAAATATTGAAAATATTATATTATTTTCGATTATGTAGGCCTACTCTTGGTTAAAAATAAAGCCAATATATTAACAATTTTTAAATCATTAATTCATTTACATTTCCGATAAGTAGTGTCGATTTACTACTTATAACAACACTGAATGAACAATACTTCTGTTCATAAATTTTAATATATAATTAAAAAAAATTACTTGCTAGTTTTTAATGCATTATTCCTCTTTTACATTCTGCAATTATGAACTAATTTTTATAAGTTAATATAATGGAGTAAGTATATGAAGTTAATAAATTTAACTTATTACATCTTCATTCTATCTGTTTATTTGCAAAGAAATATTTAATTGAAAAACTTTATTTTCCTTTAATCTTTCTATTCAATTTAATAAAATTGATATGAAAGCAATTTAAAAAATTATTTTTTACGAAACAACATTTAATAATTGATTTGAAAATGAATTTGCAGGACATAAACAATCAAGCAGAGGTCTAGATTTAAGTATTGTTTTTCTTTCCGAAGTTGATGATTTCAGAAGGCCTATGAACTTTTTATTTTTTACATCTGAAAGAGGTTTGCAGAATCATGATACATTTCGATAATATTGATTTATAAGTATTCAAATAAATAAAAATCTTGTATTTATTGACAATTAAACTGCACAACATATTGTTCAAGAAATGTCATTGTAACCTGAGAAAAGATTTCAGTTCGAACCGTTACAATGTTTTTCGGTCTCCGTATGCAATAATCAATGTTTTATATGCATTTATTACGGAATATTGTAGGAATGTTAAAACTGAAATGGGAATTGGTTTGAATAACAAAGGAATCTGAATCGATTTTCCTAGATATGTATTCTTCTAGCTTTTCTGTTTCATAGAACGGATTTACAGAGTATCCGACCGGATAAAATTTCTTAGAAATAATCCATATTATTATTTGAGTAAAAAAAAAACATTTTCCTGATAAAATTTTCTAATCATTTCATGTAAAATCTAAAGAATTTAATCTCTAGACAAAAAGTGTTTCCAATTTTATTCTCAAAGCCTTGTTTAACAGTATTTCCAATTTTGTAATAAATCGGGATAATCTTAAAAACGAAATAATAATAACGTGAAATAAGTATTGTATGTAGCTAGTACAAAATTAAAATTGTAATAAGAAAAACCAATGTAAAAGTGACCATAAATATATTTAAATTAGTCATAAACAAACCAGACAAGAAAGATCTGAGAAAATAAATTAAAAAAAAAGGGGGTAACTCTTATAATTTTGAAAACTTTTTAATAGTGAAGATTTTCAATATTGAAGAATTTTTAATACCATACAATGTTTAAAATATGTAGTTATAGTTTGGTCATTTCATTTAGCGTGGATCAATGTAAATTAGCACGAGATTATGCGATGTAAGAGAAGAGGCGCTATAAAAGTTTATGCATGAACAGAGATAACCTTTGTTCAAAAACAAGAAAACCATATATGTATTTTTGACGTTTATAGAAAAAAATGTTTTTATTAATTCACAAGTTTTTATCGGTTTTAAAAGCGTACAAGAGGTATGTTATTTCAAGTCTAACATCTTATTGTTACGTCTTAATTTTTATTGTAAATTCTCCAAAAAATGACAGAATGGAGAAGAAAAAGAAAGACTTGTACCCATGCATACATCACCTTTAAGCGGATATGAAAGAACATCAACCAAATTGTCCTGAAAGTGTTACACAGATACGCCATTCGAAATACTGATATGTATATATAGTGTAGTTTTGTAATTTTAGTATAATTTTTTCCAAACAAACAACTAAAAATAATCATCTGTACCCATTTATACACCTACTCTGTAAAATGTTTAAACGTCAATTACAATCGGTTTCGAAAGATAAATATTTGAAGGTATGTTCGTAAATTATATGTATCATTTTTACAATTTAATGTCATGTAGTAATTATGTACATTTTTTAAAAAAATTAGTTGACTGAAGAGGAGCAACATAAGGCCCGAAACGTGTAAACAACTCGTATCAACTAAATGAACAAATAAAAGGATGAAAGGATGCCTAGTGTTTGATTAATTGCACTTTTATAGTGCTTACGAAACAAAAACATGCTACGACACTGTTTCAAATCGATGAAATTTTGAATTTTTTTGCCAATATATTTTTATAAATTGTAATATATATTAATTCCACTAAATGTTTTATATTTAATCATAAATATAATATAATCCTTTATAAAAAAAATATAATTATAAAAAATCAGAAAATTCAAAAAGAACGTTTAAAAATGTGTTTTAACTTATTTGAAACTTTTAATATTCTTATATTTATAGGCCTATATATATATTTTCTGATAATCAGACAATATCAATTAGTGAATATGTATAAAAATATATATTGCAGTTGAATAATAAACTTAAAAAACAAAGTAAAAGCGAGGCTTTAAAAACTGTTTTACTTGACAAAATAAAATTTATAATTTAGTAGAAGTTTTCTGGAAATTTTTAATCATATTCAAACTTACTTCCATGTAATATTTTAACTTTGAAGAAATTGAAATTAAACTACCCATTTCCTAACAAGTAAGTAAAATTTATTTACAGAAATTTCTTTGGAAATATTCGTATATTTTACATCCTTGGGAGTTAAAATAAACGTTTTCTGCAATCTACGGTGACACCAAACAATAGGCCAATTAAAATATACTTTTTTATCTGTTTATTGTAACAATACTTTTACTAATTTAATATTAAAATAACTTCCGGTAATACGTGATTTTATATTTTTTCAATTTTTTACATAATTTATTAGTTTGATTAAATTTATTACATCATATTCAATCAGAACGACAGATATTATTAAAAATTAATTTTATTATACATTCATCAAAACTTTAAATTCACTTTTACTTTTTTGGCTGTTATATATAAGAGGTAAAATATGGCGATCTGTCAAAAGATGATCACATAAGCATTGTACAGCCCTAATTATTATTACTTTATAAAAGTTTTCTTTTATCATTAGGCTATTAAAGTAGCCAATGTAATTAGTCGTTTTAATTTATATATAGTAGAAGTTAGTAAATCCAGCATTTACAAAACCGAAATGGTTCCACAGTATCAAAACTGCTATATTACCAGGCGTTTTTGTATTTTTTGCAAAATTTAACTTAATTTGTGATCTGAACGTTGCAGACATTGCTGTACTGTATATTTTGTACTAACACATACAGTTATATATTTCAAATTTGTTTACACACACTTTAATCAATCTGAAGATGAAAGAGAGCATGACTATACTGTGTTAACGTTGTTTATTTTGTGCAGTAACATTCATTAATACCCAAATAGTTTCCCATAGAAAGTCCTCCCGGAGGTATTTGTCTTGGCAGCTTGTCCATGTGTCGTGTTGACTTATCCCATCAATCTATTAATGGATTATCTAATAAATTATACCAGGCTATTAGACTATAGGCTATTAGTTTTTTCCAAATAGAGGTTCTTTCTAGATATTTAAATATGAAAAGGACAAAGCTATTTGGTTATATCAGAGCCAAAAAACGGAAGGCGGAGAGACGAGAGAAGATCAAAGAACCGCTGAAAATTTGAGAACGATTTTATTAAAGACCGTCTGAGCTTTCAGTTGATGCTGATGAACTTGATTTAATCGAGTATTCAACTGATCGCACTGACTGCTGCTGAAGAAAAACCAACCGCAAGAAGTCATGTGAAGATACTTCCGACGTTACCTCCTGAAATTTGATCGATCTTGACTTGTTATACAGTACTTTGCTTAGTAGCTAGCAATATCTCTTAGACGTTTATTGACACTATTCTATGATCAGAGTACAAAGCCAAGGAAGAAAGAAAGACAGTCAAGTTTAGCATATTGTACATGAATTGAAACAGAAAAAGCTCAAAATCAAGAAGGGTGTTAATGCCCTTTAGCAGTGTGTGATAAATCACGATGTTGAGCATTAGAAAAGTATCTTGAAAAGACTAATGGTGATAGTTTGAACACAATTTTATTTTAAGGGTTTGTCAGACGACTTTTCGGATTCTCCGGAATTTTCCCGCATTGCATCATTAACTTTCACCTTACAAGCAGAGCCGTAACTAGGCAGGTGCAACAGGTGCACCCGCACAGGGCCCACTTGAAAGGGGGGGCCCAAACTGCTGTTCACAAAAAATTATATTTTTAAATTTTTCCGCCTTTCTACAGAGCGGTTTGGCGATTACATTTCGCCTTACTTAGATCCTAGATGTCTGCTCACCAGTGTTCCCAACTGTGGCGACTTTTAGAGGGACGTAGTGAGGTAGCGGAGACCTCAGACAAATCAGCCAAAAGTAGCGACTTTTGAAATTTTTTAATTTATTTTTTGAGAAGTTTAAATTTATGTTTATAGTTTTCAAATTTACAGATTTTTCTCTACTTTATAGAGCTCTCTGGCAACTACTACTATTATTACGATATACAAAACTGTATTTCTAGATTTTTCTACAGTGTGCAGAGCTAGAAATCTGTAAAGGTAACATTCTGTAACAAAAATAAATCTGCTCGAGGATTTTTTNTCTTGAACTTAGTTACTGAAATTTATATTAATGATTACATTAATAATTATATAAATCATGCTGATAAAAATTATAACAACAAAAAATATGAATAATTACATTTTTCCCCATGCAAATTTAGCTTACGAATTTTCAAAAAAACGTATCAATTTTTTAAAAATAATTTATATTTTTTACATAAAAATGAATTTCAACTGTTTTAAATGCGAATTTTTTATTAATTCTTTCTCGAGATTTAAACGTATACCATTTTCTACTTAGAACTACTTTTCTTTTTGGTCAATTTGGAATGGAAATTCTTACAAGTCTGACATGTACTCGTGAAAAAGAAAACAAAATTCCTTTGTTTTATTTATCAAGGCGTAGCATTTACTAACGTTTTCCGAAATGAATTCTGTTGAAATCAAATAATGAAGTAAAAACAAAAACGCCTTAAACATTCCAGTTCTGTAGCTCATTTTCCCCCCCATTTTTGCTATTATTTTTTACTTTAAAAATATTTAAAATATATAAATATTATTATAAAAATATGGAAAATAAACTGCGCAATCGGGTATATTGCATATTTAATTTAAATTTTTCTCTTAAATGTTTTGAATATTTTATTAATTTAAATGACCAATAATATAGTTATGCTAGGAGGAAAATAGAATAATGCAATCGTCTAGTAAAAAGAAAGGAATATTGTAAAAAAAGATTTTTTGTTATCGCATTAATACACTTGAAAAAATATTTGTACTTGACAGATATTGAACCTTGTAGTCTTTTTGATAAGTTTATATCGCATTATAATATAATATTAAATTTAATAACAGGAAAACGCCTCTTTACACTTCGTTCTTTTCTTTCTAGATAAATATATCAATAGGCGAGAGAAGAAAAGAATTAAATTTAGTTCTGAAAATTGAATCTGAGTTACGTATATTCTTAGAAAGATCAAAAGTCAAATAAAAAATCCTTATATTTTTTTATAATACTAAAATATATGTTTAAAATTGATTTGTTTATACCATTCATTAATATAGTATTTGAAATTCCGAATGTTCATATTTTTATAAAAGGCTTAATTTAAACGATCACTATGCATTTATTATGGTTCAAGTTGAATAATTAAAATAATTTTATGAAAAATATTTTGATTTGTAAACATTTTAAATTCTTTATCTAGTAACTTATAAATAACCGGGATAGTAAATTATGATTATTTTTTGTAAATTAATACAGTACAGGTTAAAGAAGTTAAAAAAATAAAATAAAAGAAGTGTAATAATATTTATTATAATAATAATTGGGACTTGTATTTTAGGAGAAAATATGATAAGTCTGTATTCCTACACTTAAGGAAAATCATGATTGGTTAGATAAGATGGTTATAAATCACACAAGTTTAGAGATCCCCTGTTATATTAAAGAATTTTATAGTTTAAGTTAGAATTATAATAGTTCCTGTTGCTTTTAATAATGAAAAATTAACAGTTCAATGTGAAAATATGTTAAGTTATGTCCCTAGTAATGATAGAGAAGAGGTTATGTCTAAAATGCAAAAAAATAGTAAGCTCAGGACAATTTAACAAACGTAATAAACATAATATTAGTGAGTTAAATAATAGTGTTAAATTATGGCTACGAAAATATTCTTTAACTTTGATAAAAGCTGATAAAACTCGGCAAGTGGTAATTATAACAGTTGATGGTGTTAAGGATAAAATTCACAAACTTTTACAAGTTGGTGGTTATGAAAAATTATTATTAATCTGTTGAATCTAAAGTACAATTTAAAATTCTTAATGAGGGAGAATATCATTAATAATAAAGACTGTGAAGACATAATAAAAAACAACAGTAATAGAATTCCAAAATTAACAATTAGAAGTTAAAACCCACAAAAAACCGAAAACAGAAACCAATAGTGGATATTAAAAATTATTTTACAAATTCTCAGTTTACAAAAAGAATGGTTACAGTTATTTATGTTTGTTTTTAAATAACAATTATTTTGCTTATGATAAACAAGTTTTTAAACAAAAAGATGGTATTTCGATAGGCTCATGTTTAGGCCCAAAATTAACAATGTTAACAATAGATCAAGCAATAGTTGATATTGATGGTACAGTTTTCCTAAATAGTTATGTAGATTGTTTTATTATATCTTGTATTTGATGAAGTTTTAAATCCTGATAAAATATTGTAATTAATAAATAATTTACATATAAATATTATTTTTGGGTTAAAATAGAAAATAACAGAAGTGTTTCTAGATGTAAAACTTACTAGATTGTGTAATTCGATTAAAATTAATAAATATGTAAAATAATGTAATGTCCCCCCCAAAAAACAGATTGTGGAGCAAGCATACCACTATATTTTAAAAAGAATACGTTTAACATGTTTATAAAGAAAATACTTGATAGAACCACTAATAAAAATGACCAAGAAGTAGAAATACAAGATATAAAGATGTATTTAATTAATAACTATCGAAAGCATTTAATTGCAAGCTGGTTATACAAGTTGGAACATTAATAATAATAGTAGAAGAAATAGTAATATGCGATATGATAGTTTAATTTATATAGAAAATATTTTTGAATAGATTAAAAAAATTATGAAAACGTTTGACTAATATTATTAGCACAGAA